AAGGTATATACTTAAATTCTTCAAGGGAGCCTTGGCTTCCTGATCTGTAAAATGGGGTGGCAAATACCTTCCTCACAAGTTCTTGGAGGAAATAAATAAGAAAATGCATATGAAAATCTCAAGCTCAGGGACTGGCCCAGTCCCCCTGGCTAAGTAAGTGAATTTTTAAAAAATGTGTTCTTTCCATATCAAAAGCCTGCAAAATTTCTGATTCTAATGATGTAAGGCTTTGATACTGCCAACCTCCTTTTGTCTCCTTTAGTCACTGCATTCTCATTCAATTAGCTATCTTTCCTAAACAAGTGTGGATCTGTGGAATAGAAAAGCTCAAGCTGAGCTTGATTCTGTTCCATTATATTAGCCCCCAGGGCAAATGAGAATTCACGTTCCTTCTGTCTGAAGCAATTTGAAATGGCATTCTTCTCATTTTCTCTTTTATGATGTTGGAATTGCTTATTTCTATTTTAGTGTGATCAATTTAAAAATAATGAAGTGTTTTGGAGATAGTTTTCTTTTGTAAATCCAGCTCCTTCCAAAATATCAGTCATTAATATGCTTGTCTTATATCTGTTTTGTTTATTTAAAAATCATAAACTTACGGAGAATAGCACTATTTGATAGGAGATAAGAAGACTTTTCTGTCCTGTTTCCAGTCTGGGGAGAGAATGGTGGCTTTTTAGTCTCCAGGCTCTGACTTCCTGATTTTCAGTCTACCATACCACATTGCCTTTCTGAAACTTAAGCGGGAAATAACGTAAAGCAATAACTTACATGTTTCATTAAGCATTTCAGGTAATTGGCCAACATTTATAATAATTTCACATTAAGTTATTACTCTTTTTTTAAATAAATCCCTTACATTTATCTGTTATAGTTCATTTTTTTTAGCAGTTGTCTTTCATAATTTTATCACACTTCTTTCAAGAATCCTAAAATGCATGTGTTTGGTACTTAATTATGTAGTAGCAATATGTCAGATACTACATTACTATTACTAAATTGAAGAGACTGAGAAACATTTTTTTCTGACCCACAAGAAAAAATGAAACCCTTGAAGATCAAAAAAAGTAGAAACATCACTCACTAGATTTAGAAACTAAGAATAGGAGGAACAAACTTTTTTCTTTAGTAATTTCAAAAATATATGTTAAATATGCTTAATACAATAAAATTAAAAAATAAAGCAACTATATTCCAATAAAAATTAATTATAAAAAACAAAAAATATGCTTAATATTTGAATATTATGAAATATGATAGTGTGAGATGAAAGACTATTTGATCACAAATTATTGTGTACTAAGACTGTGTATTTCAGAGGATTCACCACTTTTTTTTTAACAATTCCTTTGATAGGTGATTAACTGTGGTTAAGACATTAACTGATCTTTATTCTTAAAGCGCCTGAGGATCAGATCTGTACTGAGTGCAGGTATGTCCACTGTACTCTCTGAAGAAAGAAGTCCCAACATTTATTCCTGCAACAGTATTGTTTCAAAGCCTGAAAAGTCAGCTAATATACTGCAAAAAGAGAAGGGAAAGTTTGCTAAGTAGGTATTGTCTATCCTGGAAGAGAAAACCCACAGAATTCTGGGTTTGAAAAGGTTGTTAGATCATCCTAGTATAACTGTTTCATTTCAACTTGAGGAAACAAATTTAGAGAAGTAAACTCTAGTATTTACAAAGGTATGTGAGTTTGTGTGTACGTATGAGTGTGTTGCATTTGTGCAGAGTCTAGTAACTAGCTATAATCTCTCTCTACTTAAAGAAATGGGCTTGGAAGTATAGCTTGAAATTTGGGTTAATAAAAAGGAAATTTCTTCAGAATTGAGGTTTATTAGGTATTAAAATGGTTTACAAAGAAAGATTGTGCATACTTTATAAGGAGTAAGTTAGATTGCCTTAGAGCTATGTCATCCTAAAAGTTTATGGATTTTTAACTACCTGGGCTTTTAAACCTACCCAAAGGAGAAAAGATCAAATAGGCAAAAAATTAATCTCTTCCTTGTTTTTTTAAGAATTATTTTATTCAATGATTTTGTTCACTCAATCAATCTTATTGAATGACTAAGGAATCAAATGTTGAATCAGATCCTTGGTTTTGAGACATAAATCAAACGTAGTTCCTTGGCCTCAAGGATCTTCCAAACTAAAATAATTTTGTTTACCATTGATAGTACTGAAAAAATAACTTCTGCATAAAGACACTTACCCAATAATTAGTAAAACAAAATAATCATGAAATAGTAGAATTACTCATATATTTTTTTTCTTTCAGGCCAAACACTATTCAAAGTAGTAATCAAATCTCTCTCACCTAAAGAGTTAGTTCGGATTCACATCCCTAAACCTTTGGACAGGAATGATGGGACATTTTTGATGCGATATAGGATGTATGAAACTGTCAGTGAAGGGCTGAAGATAGAGGTCCTTTATGGTGATGAACATGTCGCTCAGTCTCCCTATATTTTGAAAGGTAAGTAATTATTACATAAACCAGAGCCAGCCTTATGAGTAGACTCCATGGCTTTCAGAATGCGTTATGATGACCTTAAAGTATGTGCAACAGGGTAAACATTATATATGTATCATCTGGAGCTCAATTTAACTAAATATTTTAAGGGAGAGAAAAACTAAGTAATTTAAAGCGATTTAAATGACAAGCAAAAATATCTTGTGTGTTTACCGGGGTAGTTACCATTTTTAGTACTCTTCATTCTTTTGCATACATACATATTTTCATCTAGTACCATTTGCCTTCTACCTGAAGGATTCCCATTAGCTTTTCTTTTAATGTGAGGACGCTGATGATTAGTTCTTCTAGCTTTTGGATATCTGAAAAAGTCTTTATTTTGCCTTTATTTTTGAAAGACAGATGTCTTTCAAAAATTATAGGTTGACAGTTTCTTTTTTCTTTTAGTACTTGAAATATACTGTTCCACTGTCTTCTCACTTGCATTATTTCCCATGATAAATCTTCCATCATCTATATCTTTGATCCTCTGCTAAAGGTTTTCTCTTTATCAGTTTTTTTTGAGCAATTTGATTATTATGTGCTTTGGTGTAGGTTTCTTCATGTTTCTTGTGCTTAGGGTTTGTGGATCTTTGGGTTTATAGCTTTCATTAAATCCAGAAAAAATTTGGCCATTATTTCTTCAAATATTTTTTCTGTTCTACCCCAGCTCCCCTCCAAGAATTCTAATTACCCATACATTAAACTTGAAATTATCCCACGACTCAATTATGCTCTTTTCATTTAAAAATATGTTTTTTCTCCATTTTGTTTTGTATAGTTTCTATTGCTATATCTTTAAGTTCACTAATCTTTTCTTCTATAACGCCCAATTTGTCATTAATTCCATCCAGTGTATTCTTCATTGCTTGATGCTTTCTCATTTTCTTGAGCTTTCCTCTAGGATGCAGTTAAGTTATTTGGAATTAGTTTTATCCTTCAAATTTTCTTTTACAATTTATTAGGCAGGCCCAGAGCCATGTTTAGTCTAGGGCTAATTATTCCTTACTACTCAGGCAATACATCTCTGCATACTCTATCCAACCTCTGTGAATTAGAATGCTTTCCAGTCTGGCTTGTATGAATAGGCACTATTCCCAGCCCTGTATGAACAATGGGTATTGTTGCCTCTAATCCTTATGGATGGTCCTTTCTCTGCCTTGGATAGTTTCCTCAAACATATATATTGGTCAGTATGCCTTAAATATTTGAAGGGAACCTGTACAGATCTCTGGAGTCCTCTCTGTGCAGTGAGTATGTCCTACAACTTTTAGCTGCCTTGATCTCACTGGACTTTCAGCTCTTGTCTCCTCAGCTCAGTGAGACTGCTGGGGTCTACCTGGATTCCTCCTCCATGTTCCACAACCTAGAAACTCCCTTAGGCAGTAAGCTTTAGGAACTGTAGGGTTTACCTCATTTGTTTCTCATCTCTCAAACTCATTGTCCATTGCCTGATGTCCAATGTCTTAAAAAAAAATGTTATTTCAAATATTTTATCTGTTTTTTGGTAGTTTCAGGTAGGAGGGTAAATTGGTCCCTATTACTTTTCTGAAGTAGAAATTCTCATGAAAATTGAATAACTTTAAAAAATTATTTTTATATTAAAATAAATATGGATATATTTTGAAATAATATATAAATTCTGCATAAATTCTTTTTTCAATGGGTCTTCAGAATAGTTTTATAATTACGTCTGGCCACTTTAAAATTACACTGCAAGATGCCCTTAGGTTTCATATTTCCTCTTTGAGATGTGCTGATGGAGGTAGTTTTAGGGACTCAGAGGAAGAGACCTCATCTTGCCTTAAAAAATCACCACCCCTACTACATTATCATGCCTGAAAAGTAATACATTCTCTTTTTCCTTGTTAAAAGGTAAGTTGTTTTATGCTCATCAGCCATTTATAACTCATTAGAAATAAATTTTTCAATAAATTGACTGAGAGTAGGTTATATTGGGAGAGAGCATATGCTATACTAGGTTATCTAGGGTGGGATGAAAGGGGGATAGAAGGTGAGAGCACAAGACTCTGACATTACTACTTTTACCACTGATTTGTTTAGGGCAGATTATCCCTGTCTGGATAATCTTAGAATTTACCAAGAAGTCATCCCATGCTCACAGCAGGGGCAGAAACAACTTCCTGTGTTGCAGTGCATGTTAATGGAACTTGGCATTGTATGTTTTGCTTTCCTTAGGACCAGTGTACCATGAGTACTGTGAGTGTCCAGAAGAGGATCCTCAGGCCTGGCAGAAAACTCTGTCTTGTCCAGCCAAGGAGCCACAGATTGCAAAAGATTTTTCTTCTTTTCCCAGCATCAATCTCCAGCAGATGCTAAACGAAGTTCCAAAAAGGTTTGGGGATGAGAGGGGTGCTATTGTTCATTACACGATTCTCAGTAACCTAATCTACCGGAGATCTTTAGGGAAATACACAGACTTCAAAATGTTCTCAGATGAGATTTTGCTGTCACTGGCAAGAAAGGTATGAGAATGAATTCATTGATTCTAAAAATAGTTTAATTATTTATTTGTAACATTTAATTCTTAGAATAATAATGGTAAAGAATGGAAATGGATTCCAGGCTTGAAAATGTGCATCTGTCTGCCACCTGAGTGCTCATAAGTTCTTCACCTTTTTGGATATCTCTTTCCTTTAATATTTAAGTTAAATGGCTTGAGCCCGCATCCCAGGTAAGTAGGCCATATAGTGCTCTCCCAAGGTTTCTGTGAACTCCCAGACATTTACAGCTGCAAGGTGACTTCTTCAAGCTCCCCAATCCTGCTGAATACTCCTTCCATTCAGATTTCACTTTCTTCTTGTCACCTCAGAATAAGTTGAACTGAGGACACATTTTCCTTGTTTTATCCTAAGTGCATACATTTTCCTTGTTTTATCCTAAGTGCATTGCACACTTTATTGAATGTTGGGGTAACTGAGAGAGGTTATTTTGTGCCAATGCAGAGTAAACAAAACAAAACAAAAATCCTAACATTTAAAAATAGACATCCCTGTGTTAATCAGACTCTCAGTCATCCTTGCCTCTGGGAATTTCTCACTGGCTGTCCTTGATTTTCAAGTCTTGGCTTCTTATAAATATGACTGGGGCTTCTGTCTTTCAAAAGACTTCTCCACATCCCCAGCAACTCCTCCCCCAGTCCCTCTATTCAGCCCCTCTTTCCACATTTGCCAAATTCCTATAAATTCCTCTTAAGCAGAGCAATTCAAACTGCCTTTTGTTCTTTCTTGTTCCTGATTATGCAGAGTAAAAGATGAGGATGGGCATTTTTTACCTTTTTCACCCAGAAAGACCATCAAGGTAGTTTTCTAAATCAAAAGCCAGCTTTCCTGATGTGAGTTATACAATTTCCCAAGCACATGGAATGTAGGGCTGCAATCAATTCTTATTTTAAATAGCAGTTGCCTCCTATCTCCCCATCAGCCCACCGTATGAGCATATGAGCATATTATGGGCATCTGATCCTAAAGGCGGTTCTTTCTTCCTGGGCTACCATCAATCTACTCTGCCCTGTATTTCTGTATCTTGTACTCATGTGGTTTTTAACTAGGAATGATTTTGCCCCTTAAAGGAATTTGTCAATGCCTAGGGACATTTTTGGTTATCGCAACTGGGGAGTTGCTACTAGCATCTGGTGGGTAGAGGCCAGGGATTCTGCTAATCATTCTACAATGCACAGGACAGCCCCCACAGGAAAGAATTATCCACACCAAAATATCAATAGTGCCAAGATTGAGAAATCCTGCTCTACAGTGAGAACTTCTGATGTGGAGCTTACTAATGAGCTACTAAATGATAACAGGGAAGCACTAAGGTGAATAGTCATATCCCTTTGCCCTTTCCTTTTGTTCCAGGTTCTTTGCCCAGTGACTGAAAGGAGACTTACGATAAGTGAGACTCACCTCTGGTCTTTGAACAGCTCACTCTAGTGGAACTTGTTTTTGTTATTCAGAAGTGAGGATGGGATGTAAATACAAACAAGTAATTGTACCACAACACGATAGGCCCATAAGAAAAGTAGGTACCCAGGGTTAAAATGTCTGAGGAAGGCGAGTCATAGAGGAGGTAACATTAGCTCTGAGTGTGAAGGATGAGAAAGGAGACTGCCAAGTGAATAAGTAGGAGAAGGACATTCTAGGTGAAGAGAATTATGTATTAAAGTGGGTGGCATTTTCAGAGAGTAACTAAAGTTTTCTGGTACATGGGCAGATGGAAGATGGATTCAGAGCTAAGCTGGAGTAAGAGAGTAGGGTCTAAATTCCAAGAGTTTAGACCTTGTCCTATAGGCTTAAATTTCTGTTAAGCTTGATAGTAACATTAATTTGTGTTTTAAAAATTTGGACAGTAATGTGGAGAGCAGATTAGAGTGGGGAGAGGCTAGAATCAGAACATCTAGTAAGGGACAACTATTGCAACAATCTAGGTAAGAGATGATAAAGGCTTAAACTAAGGCGTTGACCATGGAGATAGAAATGGATAGCAGATTCCAGAAACAAACATAGATGTTATAAAAAGGCTTGATAGTGAAGGAAAACAAGGGCTTGGGTCTAACTTTGTAGATTCTCACTTAAGCAGCTGGCAGAAAAGGTGCTTGAAGCCACTCATTCACACCTTTCTACACAGTTTCCATATCTATAATACACAACAGTTTTAAATGTCACCTCTGAACAGAGGTAGCTAACTCCTGCTCAAGTGAATTGTCATGTACAATCCTCACCCTTGATTTTCTGATACTACTGATGACTGAGAGGCATCCTTCTCTCTTCTACTATTTTCAAATTTCAGTTTTATCAGAAATATTTTAAAAGCCAAAGAACTGAAGCATTTAGTACCAAAGACTGAGGTCTTCCCAGCACTGATAAGCATTCTTTTGTTTATTTAGGTCCTTCTCCCAGATTTAGAATTTTATGTTAATCTTGGAGATTGGCCTTTGGAGCATCGAAAAGTCAATGAAACCCCTGGCCCTTTACCTATCATTTCATGGTGTGGCTCTCTGGATTCACGAGATGTTATCCTTCCAACATATGACATCACCCACTCCACACTTGAAGCTATGAGGGGTGTTACAAATGATCTTCTCTCTATTCAAGGAAATACAGGTAAAAGTCATTCTCTAAGAAAAAGCTTAGAAGTAAGAAAGGTGAAAGGAATGTTCAATCAGAGAGAGTATGTGAATATATTTAAATAACCATTGTTCTTATTTTCTAGCCAGGAAAAAAGAAAAACAGCACTCTAAACTCTAAAGTGGTTTTTGTTTAGGATTCTTCTAGTCCAGAAATTAAAGATATGTGGATTAGGCTAGTAATGTCCAGAACCTAGTGTAACTGAGTCTCCTTTGAGTTGGTCACTTGTAAATACCATTGGAAAATACATATTTGGTAAAACTATCACTTAACTTAATTCTGACTCCAGTGCCTTTATATTGCTGGATGAAATGAGAGAGAATTCTGAAAAATATAAAATTATATTCATATGTAAGAGAATTGTGATAACAGTATAATTTGGATATTACACCTCCAGCACCATAAGAAATTCTCCTCTTCCCTCTTTCTGCCTCTCTTGATCCTTTACAATCTGAATTCCTTTCCTCCTATTTGATGACCTTAAGTTTATGGTACTACACACCTTTTTATTAAACCGAACTCCCTGAGTAGAAAAAATCCCTGCCTTGTCTTAATAAGTCTCTATTTCTGTTTAGAGCAGTTTAGTGGACTTATTTAGTAGACAAGTCTAGAGACTCCTTGTAAACTCTCTAAAGGTAATGGGAAATGAAAACTGACCTACTTTTTATTTGATAACAGTAAATTCCTGAAAAGTATGCTAAAATAGTAAAGAGGTTGACCCCCTACAGTTTCTATGTTTTATGATTTATCCCTTAGAACACTGACAGGTGTTAACTAATGACTTCTTTTTAGAATAATAGAAAGAGAGTTAAATTAATTCTTCCAGATTATTTCCCTCCCAGGAAAGAGAGGATATAAATATATATACATAGTTAAGTTATGCAAAACTTATTTGCATTTAACAACATATTAGAAAAATTCTGCACTGTATTCAAAAGTGATATGCTCAAAATTCTGAGCAACCTAAGAATTAAAGATGTGTGGATGTTACTTAATTCTCTACTTTGTTCTAGTCACTCTAAGAACAAAAGCCTAGTGCTTTTTTTTTTTTTTTTTGTGAAGCACAAAAGTTGGAAGAAACTAATGCCTTGATGAGTGAGCCAAGTCACGGAATCTCTTTTTGCTTTGAACTTGATCCAGCATTATTTTGGATAATTCCTAATGTCATGCAATAGAAACTCCACTTTTTGAGTGACCTCTCACTAGTACACTAAAGGATAAAATTAGAGCATATTTTTCGAAAGTAACATTTACTTTAGATGTGTTGATGATAAAAGAGCTTTAGCATCTTAAATGACAAAGGTAGATTAAAGATGATTATACTTACCATAATATAAAAATGTCAAATTCATAATTGTATTTTTTTATGGTCTCAAACCTCTAGGACCTTCCTGGATCAATAAAACAGAGAAAGCTTTCTTTAGAGGTAGAGATAGCCGAGAGGAGAGGCTCCAGTTGGTGCAGCTGTCCAAAGATAATCCACAGCTACTAGATGCAGGAATTACAGGATATTTCTTCTTCCAAGAAAAAGAAAAGGAGCTTGGAAAAGCTAAATTGATAGGCTTCTTTGACTTCTTTAAGGTATGCAATTAAGTCTTCCTGGATACATATGAAGCGATAAACTTGTATTAAAAGTCAACCAAATAGCTGGGGTTGGGCAGATTTCTCCCATCTTGTGACCCAACACACACTTTCTTATCAGGCATAGGGAATTATGAAACTCATGCAGTTTCTTTTTTGTTTGTTGTAGCTGTTAACTTTGTCTAACAAATAGCTCAGAACTGTATTTAATACTCAAAATACAGTACAAGGATTAACCTAGAGTTTTGGTATATTTCCCTGTTTTTCTCTTTTTTAATAAACTGGGAATATAAATGTCTTTTACATAAAATGATCTTGTAAATAAAAAGAGTATGAATTCTATGCTAGTAAAATAGGGTCCAAGTCCTGCCTCCGGTCCTGCCTCTGCCACGAACTGTGGGGCTTTCATCTCTTAGCACTTCTCGCCTCTGACATGTGTGAGCCTGCCTAGCTCCTTCAGAGCACCGTATAAGGCTCAAAGGAGGTAGAGGTGTGACAATGTGACAAAATCTGACTGGCTGGTAAAGTCCTTGGTACCAATTATTTAAGAAAAAAGTAATTACCGAATCTGTTAGTATATCCTGTTCCTCTCAGTGTGATATAATGAAGAGAGCATGGGATTTGGGCTCATAGAATAGAGGTTTATAAATATCTCTGAAACAAATTTTATCATTAATAAAAAAAAAGAGAGGGAGATGATAACATCTGCTTCACATTATTATAATTGAATGAAAAGTGACTTTAAATGTAAATCAAAGTTTATTAATCCAACAAATATGTCCGTACTGTGTCACCAGCATCACACTGGTCCTTAGTCTTCTCCAGGCTTCTGTCTCCTGAACTCTAAAACCGAACTTTGAGATAATAATGCCTTCCTTTTTTATACTAACATGGGTATAAGGAACAAATGAAATAAATGAAAGTGTAAATTGTTATCAATATTAAGCTTTGCTAAATATAGAGCTTTGGAAATAGTTTTCTTACCTGGTTACAGAAATCTGAATTTCCCATTACATAGACATAGTTGAAATAGGTATTCCTATTTCCTAAAATTATTTATTATCTTTAAATGTGTTGTATTTCTTAAAATTGACCTGTTAAATGATACTTATGATTATAATACAGAGAAGATGTGTGTTACAAAATAAAATATAAAACTTGTAAATACTAAAGTTGGGAAATAACTTCTTTATATTTAATGTTACAGTGTTGACAAGAAGCAGAAGTGAAACAAATGACTGTTAAAATTTTTGTTTATGTTTGTTTTAATCTTTTAGTACAAGTATCAAGTGAATGTGGACGGGACTGTGGCTGCTTATAGATATCCATACCTCATGCTTGGTGACAGTTTGGTTCTGAAGCAGGACTCACCATATTATGAACATTTTTATATGGCACTAAAGCCTTGGAAACATTATGTTCCAATTAGAAGAAATCTTAGTGATCTACTAGAGAAAGTTGAATGGGCCAAGGTATGCTTTCTGCCATTTTAGTTTCTTTAGGCAATCACAAATTCACCAGTATTAGTTACATGAGTTCCATCATAACACAATTTAATTTGACATAATTTAGTCAAAAGAAATGTTATTTTGTGAAATTTTTGTTCCCTTGAAATATCTGAAGAATCAACATCAGGACAATTTTGAATACCCTCTATCAGTATGTTTGAGGATTTTTAGAAGACTTGAAGTTCAGTGTTATATAGAATATAGATTTTTCTAAAGTATCCTTATTCATGCACACATACCAAATGCAAATTACACACACCAAATGCAAATTACAGATTAAAAAGACCAGGGTTAAAGTGCTTTATGCACAAGAAAACATTTAAAGCAATTATGGTACACTTTTGTTTTCCCCAGTTAGAAAAAAAGGCACAAGTTCTTTTTTTAATTAATTTTTATTGGAGCATAGTTGATTTACAATGTTATGTTAGTTTCTGCTGTACAGCAAAGTAAACCAGTTACATATATACATATATCCACTCTTTTTTAGATTCTATTCCCATATATGTCATTACAGAGTATTGAGTAGAGTTCCCTATGCTATACAGTACGTTCTTATTAGTTATCTATTTTATGTCAATCCCAATCTCCCAATTTATCCCTCCCCCTACTCTTTCCCCCTTGGTAACTATAAGTTTGTTTTCTATATCTGTGACTCTATTTCTGTTTGGTAAATAGGTTCATTTGTACCATTTTTTTTAGATTCCACATGTAAGTGATATCATATGTTTGTCTTTCTCTGACTTACTTCACTCAGTATGACAATCTCTAGGTCCATCCATGTCACTGCTAATGGCATTATTTTGTTCTTTTTTATGGCTGAGTGATATTCCATTGCATATATGTACCACATCTTCTTTATCCATTCCTCTCTCAATGGACATTTAGGTTGCTTCCATGTCCTGGCTATTGTAAATAGTGCTGCAATGAACATTGTGGTGAATGTATCTTTTCGAATTATGGTTTTCTCTGGATAACAAGTTCTTAATGAATCACAAGTTTCCCATAAAATAAGAACTCTTTTTTTAAAAAAGGAAAAATATTTAAAAAGTTCTTGTGTTTTATTGTGAAATTATAAAATTTACCCTTCCACTGTAAGACTTTATTTTGTTTCTGAGAAGCAATGTGGCTATGGAAATAACTGGGTGCCCCTGAGGCAGAATATTTTTGTGACCCTTTATAAAGAGTCAGAATTGCTTGCAAATGGCTTTTCCTGTGGGCAGCATGATAGAATATTAGCTATTTTCTAAAAGTATAATTAGGAATGCTGACTATTCCTGGTACTGAAGGAACAACCTATGGGTACTAATAACTGAATTTTTTATTACAACAATAATATAGTCTTTCATAGGTACCATTTTACAACAACTTTTTGGCTCAGGCTACATATTTAAATGGAGCTTTTAAGAGATGTTATAAAAACTAATTCATTCTATTTTAGTTGTATTTTAATATCAGGCAGAGAGGGTTAGATTAGGGGAACAGATGATGAGCCCTAGACTTCCTGGGTAGCTAGGAAAGTACCAAGATAGTCACGATAGGGGCTGTATGTGGGTTGTTACACTGGGTGAGGGGGGATCCAAACAGGTATGATTATTTCTATATAGCAGAGATTTCTAGGAAAGTACTTTGTCAATTTCCATAACCTAATTCTTAAGTTTTATATATATATATATATATATATATATATATAAAAACCTTTTTTTTTTTTTTTTTTTTTTGCCGTACGCGGGCCTCTCACTGTTGTGGCCTCTCCCGTTGCGGAGCACAGGCTCCAAACGCGCAGGCTCAGCGGCCATGGCTCACGGGCCCAGCCGCTCCGCGGCATGTGGGATCTTCCCGGACCGGGCCACGAACCCGTGTCCCTTGCATCGGCAGGGGGACTCTCAACCACGGCGCCACCAGGGAAGCCCTTAAGTTATATTTTTATGTTTCATCTCTCCCATGCTGTTCACATTCAACCCTACATCTGTCCTACCTCACATTCACAATTAGCTTTCTTTGTGAGTCACAGGAGTAATCTTCATTCATTGTTTCTTTTTAAACTTTTCAGGAAAATGATGAAGAAGCCAAGAAGATTGCAAAAGAAGGGCAGTTGACTGCTAGAGATCTACTACAGCCCCACAGGCTTTACTGCTACTATTACAGAGTACTACAGGTCAGTTCAGAGGATCCATCTGCTTGGTTGAGTGTCCTCAGACCAAATGCATGGCCTGAATGCTTGCTTCCTGGAGGTGTTCAAGAGTCAGTCAGCCTGTGGAACTCTGGCTATGCTGAGGCGCCAGCCTATAGAAAGGTAGTGCTAAGTCCCTTTGTGGCCTCCATATTTTTATCTCCATTCAGTATTATGAAAAACAATGCTTAGCGCCATTACAAATATAGATTAAAATCTCTGAACCTCAGAGAAAATCTTTCCTCATATGGAAAATAGGAGGGTTGGACTAGAGATCATTAACATCTCTTTCTGCTCAAAATATCTACCTCTTTGTTCTCCTTACTGCTTAAGAGCCACGCTTTTGCTATCAGTACAGGATGGAAAACAAATATTTAATTTGTTGTATAAAACAAACAAATGAAAAATACAGTTGACCCTTGAACAACATGGTTTTGAACTGTGCAGGTCCACTTACATGTGGATTTTTTTAGTAGTAAATACTACAGTACTACACAATCCAAAGTTGGTTGAACCCACGGACATGGAACCATGCATACTGAGGAATCACATATATGGAGGGCCAGCTATAAGTTATACACAGATTTTCAGCTGTGCCGAGGGTCAGTACTCCTAACCCCGACATTGTTTAAGGGTCAGCTTTATTTATAATCTAAAACCTTAGGGCTGAATTCTGAAGTACAGATATTTACTGTACTTCCAAGAATTCAAGGATTGGTTCTTTGTATAATTAACTTGTGTTTTACTCAGTAAAATTTAGCCAGAAGAGAAAAATAAGAAATTATGTTTTTGTTGTTAACCTAAACTTATTTTTCTGTGAGGCAGAAAAAAAATAAATTTCCTCAGATGCCTGAGGCTACTACCCTCTCACAGAAAAATTAAAATGATTAATTACTCCATTTATTAGAAGCAGCCTTTTCCTTAAATGAGTTCTTTTCCCTCTGCTAGTCTGGCTGTAATTTTAATGATAGGAGTTTCTCCCTCTGAAATATTAATTAGGTTCATGTACACATGTCAGTATTTTGTTGGATTTGACCCAGGACCAGGAATGTACAGCTAAATGTACATGGAACCACTGAACTGAAAAATCCAATGTATAGGAATATTTCAGTCAGTGGCCAAAAAGGAGAGACATTTCACAGGCCTGTCGCCATTTACAAAGTGTGTGTGACTACAGGCCTAAAGGGAAGGATGTGTGAAACCACCAACTTTATTGTGAGATGCTTATCATCTTTGTTCACTGATTTGAATATTCAGCAAAGTTAATTATTCATTAACACATGGAGGATGAATTCGAGAGGTGCTGTTGTTCAAGTAGGGACATCCCGTTACAAGAGGCTTCTTTCCTATACATAAAATAGTGGATGGGGCTCCTTGCTAGATTATGAAATATCGCACTAGTGCCTGTAATAACTAAAGTTAAAAGGTAACTTTAGGACTGAGATAAACCAGACCTTTGGTTTTAGTCTGAAGATACATAGCCACTAGAAACAATAGCATGAGGGGAGCGGGGAGGATTCAGTGGAATGAAGTTTGGACTAATCTTTCCATTGCCTTCAAACACATTCCAGAAATACGCTGAGCGCCAGACCAGCAAACCCGAAATACGTGACGGAATGGAACTTGTTCCTCAGCCGGATGACAGTGCATCTATCTGCCAGTGCCACAGGAAAAGGCCTTTAAGAGAAGAGCTTTAAGTCAGCCCATATTCACACTCCTGTATATGCCGGCAACATCTTCCATGGCAGCATTCAGATAGAATCTAAGCTGTGAAGACTGTGAAGACAGCCTGGAAGACTGTATGCAGGGGACTGCTTCTCTTGGTGGCTTCATATAATGTGGATGGATAGAGCAATATTAGAGCAAGTATTACCAAATATCTTAGGATATTAATATCTTTTGAGTAAACACTGCTATTATCAGCATCATAGTTTCTCTGAAAAGAAAACTTGGGGATCATAGTAGATAGAGAGGCTTGCCAAAATATAAATAACTCTCTATGAAACTGTTTACATTGTATTTATTGGTTTGTTTCTATCCCTTGTTCACTTTCCCTCTTCCCTTTCCAATGATGAAGAAAAAATATTTTTGCAGGGCTTTTTTTACCCCCTCACTGCATAACTTCTCCTCCTACAAGCTGCTTTTGGCATTCAGTAATAGCAAGTTTCCTCTTGGAAGGTCTGATATGAATAATGAAGGAAGATGAGAATGACTCTGTTATTAAAGGTAGTTTGGAGACTATGAAGGGAAATTATTTTAAAGCTCATTCATATCTTTTTAACTAAGTTTTACCAAGGGCTGAGACAAAATTAAGGAGAGGTAGTGCCTTAAGCTAGTTAATTCCCAGTCTATCTGAGTTGGACACCAATCAAGGACAACACAGTTATTAAAGTAGATGACAGCATCCTATCAGTATCTTCATTATCTATATATTGAATAGATAAATGATAACTGTAGTCAGATAGGGATCTTTAATTCTTTTTAATCTTTAAAAGGGATACTTGAAAAACCTCTGAAACAAGCTGCAGGAAGCCTGGTATCTTGGGATTCACTAATAAACTAATGACAAAAGCAAGCATCCATTCTTCACCGCACCGCTCCTCTATTTCACTGTGCTGTATTGCTAAGATAAAAACTTTGGAAATTTCCTTTGCCTTTTAGGACAGGGTGAAGTCTTAAGACCCAGAAATTCATTACACGTTCCTTGTAATACCACCAATATGAGATTCAATTCATTAAGAACACACTCCCAAAACAAGAAATATCCACACTCCAATTTAAAAATATTTACTCTCCTAATTGAAATATTTACTTAACCTGGAAGACAATGTAACCACTTTAAAATAGTCATATCTATTCTTTACTGAACATTACTAGGGACACAGAATTTTTTTAACTAGACAAAAGCAAAAGCACATTTAGTAACAGTGTAATCAAAGCCAAGTATACATGGAAAACACTAATACCCACCAGTTGTTCAAAACACTAATACCCACCAGTTGTTCAAAACACTAATACCCACCAGTTGTTCAAGTATACATGGAAAACACTAATACCCACCAGTTGTTCAAAAGCACAAGTACACAAGTATAAAATAAAGGGCAAGCTGTACAGTGACCAGATCCTAAGGAGAAGAGGGGTGTGACGATATGTAAGTTAATATAATAACTACATTTGTCAAAATAAGCTATCAACATTTTGTTTTTATTAATAAAATGTTGGAAACACCTTAAGTAGCCATCATGAGGGAGCTAGCTAAATATATAGCTATACATCAAGGAATACAGTACAACCATTAAAAAGAATGAACTAGCTCTAAATGCACTATCAATCATGAAAGATTTCCATGACAGTGTTCAGTGTAAAAAGCAAGTTACAGAACAACACATATAATGTGAAAATATTTATGTAAAAAAATATATCCATGTGATTGAAAGTTTAGAAGGATATTCACCAATATCTGAGGAAAATGGAGAGAAGGGAATTTTTACTTTTTGTCTTATACCTGTCTATGATATTTAAAATGCTTTTACTGTAAGTATGAATCAGATTGGACAATAAAGAAAAATACAAGCCTAGGAAAAGAAAATAAATGCACAAAAGATATACATAGGAAAATAAAATGGATATTTATATTTTCCATTATGCTATTTTTAAATCTACTATGTCTAGAATTTTATATCATGTGACATATTATTTACACATTTTAAATAAAGTAAATTTTCTAAATAAAATTTTGAAACAGATAAACTTGTTTTTTAAGAAAGAGGATTGAATCACCTATAGCTTTGGTATTTTTGTAACTGGGTTGGTCTAATTTTAATTCTATTATGTCTTCATGAATAAATGGATCAAAACTTCTACCACAAACACTAAATCCCTAGTGAGTAAAAATTAATATTAAAGGAAAAGATATTTGGGCTTGACACCGTTATTTTCTGTTATTTCAGGTGCAAATACTGTTAAGTGCAGTGTCTTTGTCAGTTCACGCTACCATTATAACAAATATACCATAGACTGGGTGGCTTTGACAGCAAATATTTATTTCTCACAGTTCTGGAGGCTGGAAGTCCAAGATCAAAGTGCCAGCAGATCTGATGTCTGATGAGAGCCCACTTTCTGGTTTGTGGACTGATGCATTCTCATTGTATCCTCACATGGCAGAAAGCAAAGAGAGAGGAAGCAAGCTATCTCCTCTCTCTTCTTATAAGGGCACTAATCCCATCATGAGTACTCCACCCTTATGACCTAATTAGCTCTCAAAGGCTCCGTCTCCAAATACCATCACATTAGGGATGAGGGTTTCAACATATTAATTTGGGGGGGGGGGTGGGGACAAACTTTCAGTCCATAGCAGGCAGGGAGAGGAAAAATTCTCCCCTGACATAATAAGGCCAAGGTTAGAAGAAATATAAATTTCTTATTTGGAGGGATAAGAAATCATCCTTGTGGTGGTAAGGCATGTTTGACTTCAAATAGTTGAGGACAAAATTAACCAGACTGTAAAAATCCCTCTTTTATGCATAGAACCACAGTTTACCCTATCCCAACCACTGCTGTGCCTACCTCACACCAGCCTCTTGTGGAGCCATTCCACTTGCTGAGATCAAAGTTGTCTCTTTTAAGCCAAGCTCTCTCTGTAGAGCTGTGTGGAAGAAGAAGCCACACTAAACTTTACTGTGATAACCAACACTGCAACATTTCTTAGACACAAGAAAAGAAGAAGACTGGAGTTTGTTTATTCTATGGGAAGAAATAGCAAATCCTGGAAGTGTGCACGGGGAGGGTAGGGGGTGGCTTATGTAGAAGGAGTTATATGCAGCCAGAAGTGAGGAAAGAAAGTTAGAAAAGAAGAAATATTTTCATGAGCTACCTGTTTTGTTTCACCCCAAACTAGGTGTACTTCAATACAATTTGATGCTAACCACCCAGATTCAGCATCAGATCCCCCAGGTGTAGGACTCACTGTTCCACAAGACTGCCTTTACAGACATCAGGCAAAAGTGAGGTCCCCAGGCTACCCACACTTCTGACCAACTGGCTGCAAATTCAGGGGTTCCCATGACCCCTCTCAGGTTCAATAATTCTCTAAAACAACTCAGAGAACCCAGGAAAATGCTATACTTAACTACTACAGTTTCATTTTAAAGGATACCCATAGGGCATGGTCTAGAAAGGAGCACGAAGCTTTCATGCCCTCACTCTGGGAGGCCAGGGCATGTCACCCTCATCATTGTGCTACTAATCAGGAAGCTACACTGAGCTTTGGTGTCCAGAGTTTTGGGGGGAGTCTCATTATGTAGGCATGGTCAGTGGACTAAACCACTGACCATGTGAATGAACTCAATATCCAGCCTCCTTCCCCTCCCAGGAGTTTGGACAGCTAAAGTCCCAGTCCTCTAATCATGTGCTTGGTCTTTTTGGTGATCAGTCCCATTCTGAAGCTACCTAAGAGTCCCGCCATTAATACCTCATTAGAGACTTCTTTCTATCACTCAGGAAATTCTAAGGTTTTCGAAACTCTCTACCAGGAACCAGAGACAAAGATCAGGTATATTTTTAATAATATCACAACACCTCTGAGAGCCTTGGAACTGAGGACTACCTAAGTCACCAGACTTGATTCGAGGGAATGAAGTAGCAAGATCAACCTCACTCCAGAAGGTTTGGGACAAATACCTGAGTATTACAGTATGTGTTAACCAAATCCCATATACTTTAGTTCATAGTATATGATAAGGGGATATTTTAAACAGGCACAGTGTAGTCTCTCTCTGATTTCTAAGGGTTTTTATCCACATCTTTCATGTGAGCTAGTGGACAGCAAGAAGTAACATGCTTCAGATGACAGTGAACCAGCTAAAGGAATATAAGAGCTGTTTCTCCTTCATACCCCACCCCACCCCCATTCTTTCTCCTTACCAAAGAGTAACAAGAACCTTCTGCCACCACCTATGTCACTGGTACCACTAGCACTGCAGCTATGGAACAAGCACTTGTCACCTACATGGGCTGAATAAGTCCTCCAAGAAAAATGACTTGCCTTCTGCCCATGGAGGAATTCCTAAAGAATCAGACTTTGAAGGCTAGCAGGATTTGATTGCAGGACTTCGACAGAACTGGGGGGGGAAACAGAGACTCCACTCTTGGAGGGCACACACAAAGTAGTGTGTGCATCGGGACATAGGGGAAGGAGCAGTGACCCCATATGAGACTGAACCAGATCTACCTGCTGGTGTTGGAGGGTCTCCTGCAGAGGCGGCGTGTGGCTCTGTCTCACCGTGAGGACAGGAACACTGGCAGTGGAAGTTCTAGGAAGTACTCCTTGGCATGAGCCGTCCCAGAGTCTGCCATTAGCCCCACCAAAGAGCCCAGGTAGGCTCCAGTGTTGGGTTGATTCAGGCCAAACAACCAACAGGGAGGGAACCCAGCCCCACCCATCAGCAGACAAGCATATTAAAGTTTTACTGAGCTCTGCCCACCAGAGCAACACCCACCTCTACCCACCACCAGTCCCTCCCATCAGGAAACTTGCACAAGCCTCTTAGATAGCCTCATCCACCAGAGAGCAGACAGCAGAAGCAAGAAGAGCTACAATCCTGCAGCCTGTGGAACAAATACCACATTCACAGAAGGATAGACAAGATGAAAAGGCAGAGAGCTATGTACCAGATGAAAGAACAAGATAAAACCCCAGAAAAACAACTAAATGAAGTGGAGATAGGCAATCTTCCAGAAAAAGAATTCAGAATAATGATAGGGAAGATGATCCAGGACCTTGGAAAAAGAATGGAGGCAAAGATTGAGAAGATGCAAGAAATGTTTAACAAAGACCTAGAAGAATTAAAGAACAAACACCTAGAAGGATTAAAGAACAAACAAACAGAGATGAACAATACAATAACTGAAATGAAAAAAACACTAGAAGGAATCAATAGCAGAATAACTGAGGCAGAAGAACGGATAAGTGACCTGGACGACAGAATGGTGGAATTCACTGCTGTAGAACAGAAAAAAGAAAAAAGAATGAAAAGATATTAAGACAGCCTAAGAGACCTCTGGGACAACATTAAAAGGCAACAACATTCGCATTATAGGGGTCCCAGAAGAAGAGAGAGAGAAAGGACCCGAGAAAATATTTGAAGATATTATAGTCGAAAATTTCCCTAACATAGGAAAGGAAATAGCCACGCAAGTGCGGGAAGTGCACAGAGTCCCATACAGGATAAACCCAAGGAGAAACACACGGAGACATAGTAATCAAATTGGCAAAAATTAAAGACGAAGAAAACTTATTGAAAGCAGCAAGGGAAAATAGACAAATAACATACAAGGGAACTCCCATAAGGTTAACAGCTGATTTCTCAGCAGAAACTCTACAAGCCAGAAGGGAGTGGCAGGATATACTTAAAGTGATGAAAGGGAAAAACCTAAAACCAAGATTACTCTACCCGACAAGGATCTCATTCAGATTCGATGGGAAATCAAAAGCTTTACAGACAAGCAAAAGCTAAGAGAATTCAGCACCACCAAACCAACTCTACAACAAATGCTACAGGAACTTCTCTAAGTGAGAAACACAAAAGAAGAAAAGGACCTACAAAACCAAACCCAAAACAATTAAGAAAATGGTAACAGGAACATACATATCGATAATTACCTTAAATGCGAATGGATTAAATGCTCCAACCAACAGAAACAGGCTTGCTGAATGGATACAAAAAACAAGACCCATATATATGCTGTCTACAAGAGACCCACTTCAGAACTAGGGACACATATAGACTGAAAGTGAGGGGATGGAAAAAGATATTCCATGCAAATGAAATCAAAAGAAAGCTGGAGTAGCAATACTCATATCAGATAAAATGACTTTAAAATAAAGAATGTTACAAGAGACAAGGATGGACACTACATAATGATCAAGGGATCAATCCAAGAAGAAGATATAACAGTTATAAATATATATGCACCCAACATAGGAGCACCTCAATACATAAGGCAACTGCTAACAGCTATAAAAGAGGAAATCGACAGTAACACAATAATAGTGGGGGACTTTAACACCTCACTTACACCAATGGACAGATCATCCAAACAGAAAATTAGTAAGGAAACACAAGCTTTAAATGACACAATAGACCACATAGATTTAATTGATATTTATAGGACATTCCATCCAAAAACAGCAGATTACACTTTCCTCCAAGCACACACAGAACATTCTCCAGGATAGACCACATCTTGGGTCACAAGTCAAGCCTCAGTAAATTTAAGAAAATTGAAATCATATCAAGCATCTTTTCTGACCACAACGCTATGAGATTAGAAATAAATTACAGGGAAAAAAAGGAAAAAACACAAACACATGGAGGCTAAACAATACGTTACTAAATAACCAAGAGATCACTGAAGAAATCAAAGAGGAAATCAAAAAATACCTAGAGACAAATGACAATGAAAACACGATGATCCAAAACCTATGGGATGCAGCAAAAGCAGTTCTAAGAGGGAAGTTTATAACTATACAAGCCTACCTCAAGTAACAAGAAATATCTCAAATAAACAATCTAACGTTACACCTAAAGGAACTAGAGAAAGAAGAACAAACAAAACCCAAAGTTAACAGAAGGAAAGAAATCATAAAGATCAGAGCAGAAATTAAAAAAAATAGAAACAAAGAAAAGAATAGCAAAGATCAATAAAACTAAAAGCTGGTTATTTCAGAAGATAAACAAAATTGAGAAACCATTAGCCAGACTCATCAAGAAACGGAGAGGACTCAAATCAATAAAAGTAGAAACGAAAGAGGAGAAGTTACAACAGACACCGCAGAAATACCAAGCATCCTAAGAGACTACTACAAGCAACTCTTTGCCAATAAAATGGACAACCTGGAAGAAATGGACAAATTCTTAGAAAGGTATAACCTTCCAAGACTGAACCAGGAAGAAATAGAAAATATGAACAGACCAATCACAAGTAATGAAATTGAAACTGTGATTAAAAATCTTCCAACAAACAAAAGTCCAGGACCAGGTGGCTTCACAGGTGAATTCTATCAAACATTTAAAGAAGAGCTAACACCCATCCTTCTCAAACTCTTCTAAAAAACTGCAGAGAAAGGAACACTCCCAAGCTCATTCTACGAGGCAACCATCGCCCTGATACCAAACCAAGACAAAGATACTACAAAAAAAAGAATATTACAGACCAATATCACTGATGAATATAGATGCAAAAATTCTGAACAAAATACTAGCAAACAGAATCCAACAACACATTAAAAGGATCATACACCATGATCAAGTGGGATTTATCCCAAGGATTCAAGGATTCTTCAATATACGCAAATCAATCAATGTGATACACCATATTAACAAACTGAAGAAGGAAAACCATATGATCATCTCAATAGATGCAGAAAAATCTTTTGACAAAATTCAACACCCATTTATGATTATAAAACTCTCCAGAAAGTGTGCATAGAGGGAACCTACCTCAATATAATAAAGGCCATATATGACAAACCCACAGCAAACATCATTCTCAATGGTGAAAAACTGAAAGCATTTCCTCTAAGATCAGGAATAAGACAAGGATGTCAACTCTCACCACTATTATTCAACATAGTTTTGGAAGTCCTAGCCATGGCAATCAGAGAAGAAAAAGAAATAAAAGGAATACAAATTGGAAAAGAAGAAGTAAAACTGTCACTGTTGGCAGATGACATGATACTATATATAGAGAATCCTAAAGATGCCACCAGAAAACTACTAGAGCTAATCAGTGAATTTGATAAAGTTGCAGGATACAAAATTAATACACAGAAGTCTCTTGCATTCCTATATACTAATGATGAAAAATCTGAAAGAGAAATTAAGGAAACACTCCCATTTACCACTGCAACAAAAAGAATAAAATACCTAGGAATAAACCTACCTAAGGAGACAAATGACCTGTATGCAGAAAACTATAAGACACTAATGAAAGAAATTAAATATGATACTAACAGATGGAGATATATACCATGTTCCTGGATTGGAAGAATCAATATTTTGAAAATGACTATACTACCCAAAGCAATCTACAGATTCAATGCAATCCCTATCAAATTACCAATGGCATTTTTTAACAGAACTAGAACAAAAATCCTTAAAATTTGTTTGGAGAGACAAAAGACCCTGAATAGCCAAAGCACTCATGGGGGAAAACAGCAGAGCTGGAGGAATCAGACTCCCTGACTTCAGACTATACTACAAAGCTACAGTCATCAAGACAATATGGTACTGGCACAAAAACAGAAATATAGATCAATGGAACAACGTAGAAAGCCCAGAGATAAACCCACGCACCTATGGTCAACTAATCTATGACAAAGGAGGCAAGGATATACAATGGAGAAATGACATTCTCTTCAATAAGTGGTACTGGGAAAACTGGACAGCTACATGTAAAAGAATGAAATTAGAACACTCCCTAACACCATACACAAAAATAAACTCAAAATGGATTAGAGACCTAAATGTAAGACCGGACACTATGAAACTCTTAGAGGAAAACATAGGAAGGACAGTCTTTGACATAAATCACAGCAAGATCTTTTTTGATCCACCTCCTAGAGTAATGGAAATAAAAACAAAAATAAACAAATGGGACCTAATGAAACTTCAAAGCATTTGCACAGCAAAGGAAACTATAAACAAGATGAAAATACAGCCCTCAGAATGGGAGAAAAGATTTTCAAAACAAATCAACAAAGGATTAATCTCCAAAATATATAAACAGCTCATGCAGCTCAATATTAAAAAAAAAAACCAACCCAATCCAAAAATGGGCAGAAGACCTAAATAGACATTTCTCCAAAGAAGACATACAGATGGCCAAGAAGCACATGAAAAGCTGCTCAACATCACTAATTATTAGAGAAATGCAAATCAAAACTACAATGAGGTATCACCTCACACCAGTTAGAATGGGCATCATCAGAAAATCTACAAACAACAAATGATGGAAAGGGTGGGGAGAAATGGGAACCTTCTTGCACTGTTGGTGGGAATGTAAATTGAAACAGCCACTATGGAGAACAGTATGGAGGTTCCTTAAAAAACTAAAAATAGAATTACTCAATGACCCAGCAATCCCACTACTGGGCATATACCCAGAGAAAACCATAATTCAAAAAGACACATGCACCCCAATGTTCATTGCAGCACTCTTTACTATAGCCAGGTCATGGAAGCAACCTAAATGCCCATCAACAGATGAATGGGTAAAGAAGATGTGGTACATACATACAATGGAATATTACTTAGCCATAAAAAGGAATGAAATTGGGTCATTTGTAGAGACGTGGATGGATCTAGTGACTGTCATACAGAGTGAAGTAAGTTAGAAAGAGTAAAACAAATATCGTATACTAACGCATATATGTGGAACGTAGAAAAATGGTACAGATGAACTGGTTTGCAGGGCAGAAAGTGAGACACAGATGTAGGGAAGAAACGTATGGACACCAAGGAGGAAAGTGTCAGGGGGGTGGGGGTGCTGGTGTGATGAATTGGGAGATTGGGATTGACATGTATACACTGATGTGCACAAAATGGATGACTAATAAAAAAATATATATCCCCTTCTCTTATACCAATTCAATTTTTTTCCTTATCTCTTGTCTTTACATCGCTTATAAATCTTTGCCTTCCAACTGGAAAGCAAGAATATTAATTTCGTTAATATAATAGTACATACTGTATAATAAGAAAAAGGAGAGAGAAAAAAAAAGATGAGGAGAATAAGGAAGGATATGGCGAACAGAGGGAAGGAAGGAAAGGTTTTTATAAAACCACCCAGAAGTTCCTCTGAGTTCTGTTTCCTAGTAAATTGTCCTCGATTGAAGCAGGTGCATATTAATAAATAAATAGAAAAACTGATGGTTTTAAGTCTTAATGATCCTTTGTGACTACTTTAAACATACTTTTTCTTTTAAAAAATTGAAATATTTTTACATGTATTAGAGCAATAGAAAAAGGTCTGAGCCTATTATTAAGGAATTACTGAATTCTTCTGGATCAGGTTAAAGGTAAAATAATATTAATACATGCTCAAATAGTAAACATTATAATCTTTTTTTCTTTTTTTAAGTGATTCAGACTGGCACTCCATTAAAAATATGTAGGGCTTATTTTTAAAGTAACATATAAACAAAAAGTACAAATATACATGTTTCCATGACTATATTTTTACAGTTTATTATTCATAGCTACTGTGTATTAATGTATCAAGTTAACTACCTGAAAGGGAACTAAAGCTCACATCTGCTTATTCTGATTTGTGAAAATAATTTTAAAGAACTCTGGAAACTCAGTGAGTCAATGAATTAGCCTATAGGGAATTTCTTCTGTACAATTCTGTATTATGTAGGGAACATTTTCTTCAGCTGTTTTTTTTCCCCTAGACGTTAATCTTCCTTACAAACTAATTGTATTACTTGCATGAGCATAGGAGGAAAATAGCAGAACCGGGCAGTTTCTGAGCAAGATTATTTGACATTGCAATAAGTGACAAACTAAAACAGGGCCAAGTGTGAGACATCTGGAATTCAAGCAAATCAAACTTGCTTTAGATCTGCATATTTGTATAATTTAAAGTTATCTAGGAATTCATTTAAGAGGTCATCTGTTTTCACTTAAAAATTGGTTTAGGCTTTACCAGCTAAATAGCTTAAATTTAGAAGTAGCATTGGACTGCAGTCACGTGTCACTTATTCTTTGATCCTACGCAGGATGTCTCAAAAAGCTAGAAGAGTCAGTTCTTTTATTTACAAACGAATAAATTAATTCAGTAGAAAGGATTTCACCACACTTCTCCAATATCTTTAAATTCCTTGGTTGAAGCAACCGGGCGTTATAAAATATTGAGCCCAGCTTCGCAGAAAGTCCCTTCGGTTTCTCTCCCGTCCCAAACCCTTTGCCTCAAAGCCACTGACAGCCGCTGTGAGAGCTTCTAAGAGGTCCAAGCACGTTCACATTCCCCGATTTTGGATCTCCGCGACTCGCAGAGGTCGGTGACGCACCGAGGCTCGGAGCCGAAGGGCGGGGCCAAGAGGCGGGACGAACGGGGCCAAGCCCCGCCTAACAAAGCGGAACTAGATTTACGTCATTTCTGTCTGCGGCGTTACCTGGGGCACAAGTGGAGCTCAGGCGGCGGCGATTGGCAGGTGAAGGGAATGGTGTCCCCTCCCCCTCAGCCGGTACTGCTCCCACTCGGCTTGCCTCTGGGGCCGCTGGGTCTGAACCTCCTCTGGTTCAGTGTGTTGACGGCCCCAGGTCCTTGAGGTCCCCACCCTATCCAGCCCTCTTAATTAAGTTTTGTTTCTCTGAAACCCCCATTGGGCATCTAGCCTCTCGTTTAAAATCTTGGCCAGGATTAACCCCTTCCCCCGTGTTTCCGTGTTTCCTCTCCTTGCCCTCGGTGAACTCGCGTTCCTCTGGTTCAAAAGAGCTCCCGGCCCATCCTTCGCGCTCTCAGTGCCCCACTCACCGCGCAGATACTGTCTAGTCCACCTTCAGGCCGAGCGGGAAATACGGGAAATACTTAACCTACCTCACGTGTTTTTCTGGACTTTTTTTCTGTTCGATTCATGAAATGGTTTTCTGTCTTTTCATTTCATTATTTAGAGATGGAAAGGGCAAAATCGTTTTTAAGGAGGAGGCTAAGCAGTTTTTTTTTTTTAACCTCTTCCGGTCTTGGTATAAAGGACCACAGAAGAAAAGGAAAAGCGAAATTACAAAATTGATAAAGATCGTGAAACATTTGTTTATTCAATAAAACAGTAGGGGAAACAATGGGAAGCATAGGTTCTAATCCCAGCAAATTAATTTTAATTCTATTTTCAAACTTTTAAAGAAATAAATGGAACTTAGATTTCAAAGACTTACCTTGTAATCTTTTTCTCATGAAGCCCGAATAGATCAGCGGAGCCATGATCTATTATAATAAAAGTTTTTGAATTGGGATAGATAAAAATCTTATCTCTGAATCTGCAAGTGGAACCCAGATGTAAAATCCTCATGACCTGAACAGTGGCTTGATAGTACTTTTTAGTATCTTAGAATTTCTGAAGTGTTTTCACATTAATTTATTTGGAGCCTCATAATAACCATATGACATCAGTATTGCTTTTTATTTAAGGCCAGCAACTGTCCTTACCCCCTTTTCTTCTCTGGACCTTGTCCTTTTAAACTACTCGAAAGACTTTACCCTTCATAGCTAACAACATCTTAATGTGCCTTAATGTCTCCCATATTTTAAAAAATGTCTTGAATCCATTCCCACCTTCCAGCAAATACCCCTTATCTCTGCTCCCTGACAGCACTCCAAAGAACCATTTACATATTCACTGTCTCAGCGTTCCCACTTCCTCAACACAGGCTTTCTTCCTTGCTGCTCCAATAAGCAACTTTAGTTGGCCAAATCTAATTCTTTATCCTCCATTTACTTGACTCTCCACAATTGAGCACTTCTCTTTCTTGAAATGTGTGGGACTTTATCATTCCTCAGTAATGTGACTCATTTCTGAGTCAGGTAATAATTTTGAATACTGAAAAATATTTCATCACTATTTTGTGCTATTCATAGTGTAATGGTGACATGTGGAATTAGTCTGCAAGTTAACATTTTCAAATGCTACTATCTTAAATCTGGACAACCAGCAAAACAATAAATCAAGCCCTGATTTGTAACATTTGTCAATTTCTATAATATAAATACTCCCACACTGGCCAATTTCAAGCTACCAACATGCCTCAGGAACTGGAAAGGTATGTGCGGTCATGCACCATGATATAGTTTCCACCATGCAGATACCAGTAGATAATATGCAGAGACCAGTAGTTCTCAACCTTGGGTGACTTTGCTCCCCAGGGGACATTTGGCAATGTCTGGAGATATTTTCGATTGTCACAACTGTGCTACTGCATCTGGTGAGTATAAGGCAGGGATTCTGCTAAACTTCCTATTGTGCACAGAACAACCCTCACAACAAAGAACCCAGCCCAGAACATCAATGGGTCACTGTTGAGGAACCCTGCAATAAAAATAAATAACCTCAAGAAAATAAATAGTAGTAAAAAATAGTGTAAGAGAGGAAAAATTTTTTCTGTACCCTCAGGTTTGGTGCTTGGAGCCTGCAAATTAAACCGACAAAATACAGATTAACAGGAGAAAAGACATACAAATTTTATTTGATGTTAATATTTTAATTTTACATATATACAGGAAAGGAAGTGAAAACCCAAAGGGGTGCTTAGCCCTTGGAGCTTGTATATTATTTTAACAAAGGTGATAAATTTGTGAAGTGACAAGACAAAGGGAAAGAGATTTGGGTTTTTAGAGGTGGTAAATTGTGGGAGGGTAAATATTTGGGGAAAGCTCATGGAGGGTAAGGGTTATTTAAGTAAGGCTGGTTTGTGCAGACCCATCTCAGTGCCAGTGATAATGGTTATTTTCTCTCCAGTGATAATGGTTATTTTTCTCCTCCAGGTATGGGAGAGAACAGGGGGAACACCTTCACACAGGGAAATGTATGTCCTGCTTTTAGGCAGATAAAGGGAGGATAGAGAACTTTTCCTACATATGCTATTTCTCAATTGCCTTAAGCTCAAAATAATCCTTATGCCGAAGTAGCATATTTTGGGGTGGTATATTCTGATCCCCGTCAATAGTAAAGTAATTAGTAAGTGATGAGTTTTGAGTGTGTATTACCTTTATTTTATTTAATTGTAAGTTTAAATAATTTAATTTTAAAATAATGACTGTGTTTAAAAACTAACTCACAAAATTCTCAAAAATTTAAAATTTGGCTCTACTGAACCAAAGTCAGCTTAGTACATTGCCAAACCATGCCAGTCAATTTCCCATATAATTATAGTCGCTCCTGCCTATTTCTTTTACCTTACCTCCCACTCTTCTGTCTCTTCTCTGCGCTCCAATGCCACAGTTTTCTTCCTTTCTACCACTTCAACACACCAAGCTCCTTATCTCAAGACATTTTTATCTTTTGTTCCCTGTGCCTGCAACCCTCTTCTACCATTTTCCCATGGTTCCCTCTTTGCATCATGAAAAGTAGTGTCTCCTAATTAGAGAGGCCTTCCTTGGCTGTTTGTACTAAAATACCCCTTGGTCATTCTCTATCCCTACTCTTTTATCTTCATTGCACATGCACTTATTTTGGTTTCTACAGCCATATTTTAAATAACATGTTATTCTACTTATTCTTGATTTCTTTTTTTTCTTATTTTTTAAATAAATTTTTATTGGAGTATAGTTGATTTACAATGTTGCGTTAGTTTCTGCTAATAAAGTGAATCAAAGTGAATCAGTTATACATATACATATATCCACTCTTTTAGATTCTTTTCCCATATACATCATTACAGAGTACTGAGTAGAGTTCCCTTTGCTAAACAATAGGTTCTTGCTAGTTATCTATTTTATATATAGTAGTGTGTCTTGATTTCTTTTAGATTTGGCTGTTTTCTGGTAGCCTCTTAAAATATAAAATGAGAATTTAGCTCTCTTACACCAACCATATGTACATATACACACTGATCCTCTACCCTCATCTTCCTAATTTAAAAAAAAAAATCATGTCATAACGCTAAGTAGGTTCCAAAAATTTAATTGCATTCAATATAAGGATGAGTTATTACAAAGCCCAGTTGACCCTGAACAACATGGGATTAGGGTTGCTGACCACCCCCTGCAGTTGAAAATTCGAATACAACTTTTAACTCTCCCAAAACTTAACTACAGTAACCTTACTGATAACATAAACAGATGATTAACACATATTTTGTATGTTATATGTATTATATACTGTATTCTTATAATAAAGTAAGCTAGAGAAAAGAATGTTATTAAGAAAATCATAAGGAAGAGAAAATACATTTACAGTACTGTACTTTATTTGTCGGTGCCATGAGTTTACATCATCTGTTTACATGATGAATTGTCCTTCTGTCATACCTTCAACATTATTGTCTTATATGGTACAAAGCCCCATAGACATTTTATGTATTACTAACACTAGACATCAAAAATGAAGATAATGTGAAAAAAATCATATTAATCTACAGGTATAATGATTCATACATTGATAATGAAGGGGCAGAAATATGATTGCTTTGTGGTAGCCTAGTGCAATTGATATGATTGCTTCACAGTAGCCTGGCCTATATACTAATGAATGAATTATAAAATTTTTATGTTGTACAGTGCTAGTCATATTCATAGTACAGCACTGGAAACATTGTTAACATTTTTAAACCACTTACCTGTGATGATGGACATATTCAGTTTCTCCAATTACAGGGAGAATGAGGCACACTGTAATGGTTACTAGATTTTCACATGAAGACACTCACACACATACATAACAGATAAGTTTATTAACTATACAGCATGATTATTATTTACTATTTATTAAGTGGAAAGGTATAATCATAAAGATCTTCATCCTCATCATCTTCACGTTGAGTAGGCTGAGTAAGAGGAGGGATTGGTCTTTGCTGTCCCAGGGTGGCAGAAGCAGAAGAAATATAGGAGGTGAAAAGGGAGGTAGGAGAGGCCAGCATACTCAGTGTAACTTTACAGAAATAGGTCATAATTTCTGTCTTTTTGCTTTTTCACTTCTCTAAAAATGTTTCTACATGGTTCTAATCCTTCTTCCACTGTTTACTTTAGTTTCAGTGCCCAGAGCATAGAAGAGTCCATGTTGTAAAAGAAGTCAAAAGCAGTCTTGAATAATAAGAACTCTTCTGCCAGATTGTCTAAATGTCAATTTGTTTTCTGGCACTGCTTCTTTTACATTTTCTTCCTTATCACCTGGAACTGGTTCAGAAGCACTCATCTCCATCAAGTCGCCTTCTAATTCCTCTGATGTGGTGTCTATTAGCCCTTGAATGTCGCCAAGATCCATATCGTGCAACCCTTTACCCCCTACCTTTTTTGCCATATCCACAATCCCTTTCATGATTTTCTTGACTAGCTCTGTAATAAATCCTGTGAGGTCATGCACAACATCTGGACACAGTTTTCTCCAGCAGGAATTTATTGTTTCAGGCTTGATGGCTTTCGTTGCTTTTTGTATAACAACGATGGTATCTTTTATGGTGTAATCCTTCTAGACTTCCACGTTGGTCTCTCTACTGAGGTTCT